AGTGGTTCGGTAGTTTATGCCATAGGGATATCCAATAAATCAAAACTCTCCTCCATAAAACTAACTCCACTGAGGGGATCTTCATTTCTAAGCGAATAGCCGCATTACTTACGCATGTTGGTAGTTTTAAAAGTCGGCGTAAGAATTGGCTTTGAAGCGACTCTAAAGGTGAAAGGTTTGCAAAGGCAGCCCATAAAGGTGCAGCATAGGCCATTGTGGCCATCACTTTGATGCTATACACTTTCAAGGCCGCAGGAATGAATAAGGCCCCCTCAGAGTAGAAAAAACGGAGGAGGGAGTGTGATAGGGCTTTTGTCTTGTTTTGAAGATATTCAACGTGCTCTTTCCACCCTAGATTATATTGAAAATAAATTCCTAAATATTTAAATTTATGTACTTGTTCAATTTTCGTGCCCTCCAATTTCCATGAATATAATTTTCGACTCCTTGAAAATATCAGTACTTTGGACTTGGTGTGGTTGATAGACAGATGATTAGAATGGCAATATGATGCAAAAATCTTTAGTGCCCTCCTTAAACCCACTCTGGAGTAAGAGAGTAGTACCGCATCATCTGCGTAGAGAAGTAAAGGACAACGATAATCTGCTATACGGGGGGTGTGGATAAATTTTTGTGAGTCGATTAATGGGTTCCTCATATCACTGATAAATAAGTTAAAAAGAAGAGGCGCTAAAATACAACCCTGGCGTACACCCTTATTTACTGGCACTGGGTTAGTTAGGTCTCCAGCAGGGGATATTCTTACCCTGGCCACGGACCCGGCATGAAGTTGGGAGATAAGCCACAGGAGCCTTCTATCTATTCCCCAGCAGGCAAGTTTATCCCATAGTAATTGCCTCGGAATACTATCAAACGCAGCTTTCAAATCTATGAAGGCTGCGCAAAGTTGGCCCCGTCGAGGTGTCGAGTATTTCCGGGCTAAGTGATAAAGAATAATTGCCTGATCTGTTGTGGATCGGTTTAATCTAAATCCAGCTTGCTCATGCCCAATCAGGTCAGCCTCAGCTGACCACTTCATCAGCCTTGCCAGCAAAAAACGGGCATATATTTTCCCAATGGACGATAGCAGACTGATATTCCGGTAATTCCCTGGGTCACCGGGAGAACCTTTTTTGTAGATAGGAATTATAATGGCCTCCTTCCACGTACCTGGTATTAAGCCCGTGGCATTTATTGCGTCAAACGTTTTAGCTAAAATCCCTGCCCACCATGCAGAATGTAGCTTTATAGCCTCAACAGGGACCAAATCTGGCCCAGGGGCCTTACCAGTTTTCAGCTCAGCTATCAATTCTAGGATTTCAGCAGGGTCGGTATTGTGCCAGACGGGAAGGGGATTAGAAGGTCTCCAGCGAGTGGCCGGAGCTTCTGCCACTGAGAAATATTTTCTCAGGAACTGCTCCCATGTAGGGGCCGGGATCACCGTTAAGGGGTATTTCGTGTTTCTTCCCTTTATTAAGGACCAAAATTTCCGGGAGTTATGAGATTTTGCGGTAGAAATTATAGTCTGCCAGCGATTTAAATGCCATTCCCGTTTGGCCGATTTCTGGGCCTGTTTGTATGCTTTTTAGCCAGGGAATAAGATGGAGGTAAGGCCAGAGCGCCGGAAAGTTTATAGTCATTATATATTGTATGTAGATGGAGTCTGGCTAGTTTACAAGCAGAGTTGAACCAAGGGGCGCCAAATTTAAAATAATCGTTTTTAACTCCATAGCTTGGAGAAGTAAAAAGCGAGTTAAAACTTCTATCAGGCAAGAGAAAAAATTCAAACAGGTAATAGGATCACGCGGGACTATTCCTACGTCCGGCTGATCACCAAGAAACTTTTCTCGGATAAAATCCATATATCTATGGGCGAGGGCAGGGGACCATCTAATCCCCTTTATTTTAGTGGACGGCTCCACAATCACCGGGATTGGGTGGGAGCGCACGAGCAGGTGCCAGTCAACACATAACTTGGTTGTCAGGGGAAGATGGTCACTAAATTGGGCATTATCAATTTTAAAAGAGGTGACATTCAAAAATAGATCCCGAGAAACCAATACATAGTCAAGAACACTGTTTGATTTTAACCCCAGATGGGTGAACTCTCCTGGTATATCTGGAGGACACCTGCCATTTAATATAATTAAATTAAGGCGTAAAGCCATCTGGTAAAGCATCACTCCCGCCTTATTGACTTTTACATCCTTTGATATTCTAGTGGGGATATATACTAGATCGTAGGTTTGAGCGCCGGGGTCGACCCACCATTTAGACTTTATAAGAGCTTCCCGATTTGAGGCTATCCGAGCGTTAAAATCGCCTCCGGTAATGGAGGGGACATTAGGATATTTAAGATAACAAGAAAGTAAAAAATCCTCTAGGGATTCCCATCTAGAAATAAGATCAGCTGCTAACCCTCCCGGGGGGAAATAGACATTTGTAACCAATAAAGAGAAGTTTCCACCAGAGATCAGTCCAGTAATAGCATAAGGCGGCAATGCATGCACTAGTGAAAGTTTAGCCCGAAGTTTAAGAGAGATACCAATTGTAAGGCCACCTTTAGGGCGGCCACCATTCATTGACGGGCTAGCAGGCAGACATATAAACTCAAAGCCATTTAACTCAATTTCCTCCTCCACCCAAGTTTCTTGTAATAGTATGATAAAAAGGAATTAATATATTTTTGGAATTCTGGATCTGATTTTTTACTTTTCCATCCAGCAATGTTCCAACTTAATATTGAAGGCTGGGGATTCCTCGTTCCTCCAATTGACTGTCATTCGGAAGGTTGGCTCAACTTTAATACGGGAAGAGGGGAGCCAATAAAAAAATCAGTTATCTTCCTCTGATGAGAGACCTCTCGTAAAAGCTGAGTGGGAGGATTAACAAGGTTGTCTGACTGTTGAACTTGGCCACTCGATCTACTAAGAGTAGGACCTTGAGCAGGGGCGGCCCCCTTTTCCAAAAGAGTTTGGTGGGCCACCCGGTGTGGTCCATCTATCTCGTCAGAAGTTTGGTCTCCCTGTAGTCTGCTACTGGTCTTTTGGGCTACTTGATTTATGTGGCCAGTTGGATCTTCAGTCAGTTCCGTCACAGGTCTTGCTGTTAAATCCATAATACTCCGCAAAGAAGAATAAGGCTGGGCGAGTGGGCTATTTGGGAAGGTTGGCAAAGGCACCTCATCTCTTGATTGGTCAGTGCTATAAGAAGGTTCCAGGTCTGGCATCGATGAATGTGTAGAAGGGGATTTTTCCTGTTGTGTGCTGCTTTCTTCAGGTATGTTTGTCAAGGGACGGTCATATAAATCTATTAAGAGCACGGAGGGTTGTTCTGGTTGGAGGGAAGGACTGGTAGTTGCTTCTTGGGGTTGTATCTTATCCTCCATTACCGACATACATTTAGCATTAGATATTGCGATATCCATATGAACTGGTTCTTCTAGGATGTCATACTCGCTGTACATAGGTATTCTGGTGCTGAGCTTCCTGATAAGTTGGGTTTTAAGCGATTCGAGTCTATTAATAATTTCTTTTTGTTCCACCGCTGGTAAATCTGCAAAGGAGGCAATGAGTTCGATCTCTTCTGGTGGTGTCAGGCCACTTTCCGGATGGTCGTTGTTCTTTGTTAAGGGAGTGGAGGCCACTTGACTCATCTCCTGGAGGAGAACACCCACTCCGGTGGCCACTGGTGGATCGGGTTTAGCAGATTTTAAGTCCTCTTTGGTTATTGCCTCCAACAGTAGGGGTTTAGGCGTAGGGTCTATAAAGGCTCTCGTTGGTGCTATACCACAGCGAAACAAAAAGCTTTCCTTCGTAATATGATAGTGGGAATTTTTGTGGATTGGAACGCAAGCAGGACTCTCTGTGATTTATGATGATAGACAAGGGGAGGACTGCACAGAGGTCAATCTGTGTTGCCTCCATATTTAAAAGCACCATTAGGAGTTCCTTGGCACCGCCCAGAGTTCTCCATCTTGGGTCCCCATTTTGTATAGTTAGGCACACTTTCCTTGGTGTTAAAATCAAGGATTGATGACCTAATTGAAGGTTAAGGTTGTATTTAAATTTGTCAGTACGTTTGTTATTTAAGGACAAACTCCTCGTCCCCTTCCTCTCTTCAAGAGACTTAACACCGGCTGACGCTGGAGAGGTAGTAACTAGCTTTTGTTGGAGGCTGTGCAGCTGGGACGAAAGATCATCTAGTCTTTTGAATATACAGTGCAAAGTTTTGATTATTAAATGGGACTGTTCAAATGTCATATAATTGGCTGTGCCAAGGACCAGTTCCTCCTTCTGAGGAGAGGCTACACTCTTACTGTTGCCCACATTGCTTGTTATTTGAGGTATTATTCGCTCTTCGTCTTTAAGTGCTGACACGCAATCAGTCAGAGGGTTAAATCGGTTCTGAGTTTCTACCGTGTAGGAACAATCCAGTAGATTACTCCCTTCCTTAAAGTGACATGGTTCCACCCTTGTTTGCTTTGATCTCGGAAAGGGAATGGGGACTGTCTCCTCCGAATCTCTAAGACGTTTCCCATATCCCATAATTCAGATATCGAGTAGAGGGGGGATAGTATTTTAACGTCAACTAAATATTTCCTTCAAGCCTGCCAGCACTTGCAGTGGGGGTATATTTCACTGCCTGTTCATAAGAAAGTCGGCGTCTTCACCTTCACCCTCACAGTCCAGCAATTTAGTTCGACAAGGAGACTACCGGTATGCAACACAGACCATTCCTTTTCAAGGTAGGCAAGTAATTCTGCCAGGGGATAAAATGAAGCAGAACTTGCCTTCAGTTTCAGCCGCTCCTTGTTTCTCGACGTTTTTCCTCCCCCTCTTCCTTTTTCTAAGACTTTTAACTTGAGCTTTTAACTCAAGCCTTGAATATATTAGTTAAAGAACAGCTGCCAAATGTTGTAGATAAAATACTGAGGCTGATAAAAGCTGAATAAAAACTGATAAAACTAATAAAAACTAATAAAAACCGCACAACTGCTGCGGAACTCAGGTCAGTGCTTCCACTA